TTGGCAGGGAGACGCCGTGCCACAGGCAGTTGGGTCGCTGGAACTGGTTTTTTTGTCCCTGTCCTGTAGTTTGTTTGTGGCATGCTGCTGCTCTCAATGACACATTTTTAATTGTGCCTGTTAAGTTGCCCAGAGGCTTTTTAAGCCCTGGGATTTGAAACACTACATCAGTATCTAAAGACAGCTGTTGGTCCGTGAGTGCCGGACCAGGACACTGGGGAGCGTGTCCCTTGCTGCTCCTCTGGTCTGCTTTGGGCTGAGTGGGGTGAGGGCAGGACATGGTGCCCTGGCTTTGAGCCCAGCTGTGTCAGGCTTTGTAAGCACCCAGCCTGTAGCTCAGCGCCAGCATCTCCCTGCCCCACAGCACGCCTGCCCTACTTCTGATGCTCCCCTTGTCTTGGCCCCTCTGCACCGCCCTGATGAGCTGCGAAGTGAGGGTGAGAAGCAGTACAGAGTGGGGTGGAGGGTGGATGGCCCCATCCCATCATTCCCAGCATGCTTTTGACTGGTGTTAATAGCTCTCTGTTGACAGTCCCTGGCACCTGGAAGCCACCTTGTCTGGACCACCTTGCCTGGACCAACATGGTTTTGTGGAGAGTCTGGCGTGTCCTTCCTGTGACAGCGCCCCACCCCTCAAGCCTCCAGCAATTGGCCGTCTCAGGTTGCCACCAATCTGCAATACACCAACTGACCATGGACTCTTCATGGTCCCCATGATCTCCCATCACTGTCACCCCTGTGTCACTGCTGGGAGCCATGGATGGATGGAGCTTGGTCTCATGGTCTCACTTTGTGACTGTGTCTGTAGGTTCTTCACTCAGCCCATGAAGAAATACTGTGAATGAACATGGGAGGTACAACCTGGGCTCCTTAACCTGATCCTCACTGTGCAGTGGATGAAATTCTGTCTAGGAAGAAATTGATGTCCAGGATTATCAGTGCTGAGCATCATTAAGCCATAATACAGACTCTGCAAGACCACGTGGCCAGGAAAAGATATGCCCTGTTGTCTAATGGGCTCTTTATCCACTGCCTGACTCTTGGAGGATGGTTGTTCCACTATTACAGGTGCTTTTCTTTCACTTTGCCTGTTCTAACAGCCCTCCTGACTCCAGGGCCAGAGGTTTGGTAGTCCAAACTGACTCCAAACCAGATGTTTCCTGTGCAACCTGTTGTAGGTGACCCTGCTCTGGCGCGGGGGTCAGACTAGATGATCTTCAGAGGTCCCTTCCAACCCTGACCGTTCTGTGATTCTGTGATTCTGTTTCCCATCCTCTTCCATCCCAAGCACAACACAAAATGAGGGGTGTCCCCAAGGAGAGCACTCAGGGGTGAGAAACCAGTGTCTCCCTCCCCTGATGGTCTTCTACCACCCAGGTGGGCATGCTGTGACTGCCCTGGGACAGTCCATGCTGGGACGTGGTGATGGCCATAAAGCACCACAAGGACAGAGTCTTGTGGAGGTAAGTGCTCAGCTGGCCATGCTGCTCTGCAAAGGGCCGACCAGCGCCGTGCATGCAGTCCTGCAGATGCCTTCAGCACACCCCGTACAGCAAAGCGGGTGCTGGCTGGCACCCCCCAAGTCAGTGCTGGATGAAGGACCCCTGCAGCAGGGCAGGTCCTTGCTGATGCCCTGAGCAATGAACGTGGTCCCTACCCACTCACCTTCCCAGCCCACTCACCCTCTTCTCAGCGCTGCCCGTTCGAAGAAAAGCTTGCAAGGTGGACAGGGACCATGTTGGGTCAGTCCCCAGAGCCCAAGTCCTTCTCTTTTTGAGAGACACCCCAGTTGTTGCTCAGACATTTGCGATGCCTCAAGATAAATTAAGAGTTGAAATGCAGCTTAGATGCTGGCTGGCATCTCACAGAAGGACTGGAGAATAAACCTTTCTGGTTTTGTTAGGGATTTTGTTAAGGATTTTCCCCTAATTTAAGCTAAAAAAGAACATCCTTAATATCGGCAGCAGCTCACATGCATCTCGTCACTCCACGCACTCCATCTCCTGACAGTCACAGCATCGCAGGAAGAAAGTCGACATTTGCTTTGTGCCATACACATCCCCCTCCCACATCGTAACCTCGCACAAGATCCATATCCAGCCAAATAAGGTACCACCTCTGAGTGATAAATAAACCGGGGAGAACTCGCCAAGTTAAGCGGCTGTCTTCCTACCACGCAGCACCTGATAAAAGTTACTGCTGCGAGCATAATCTCAACCAGCACATGGCATTAGCCCAAAGAAAAGCAGCATTTTCTCATTCACCTAAAATTATCCACCCACTGAAATAGGTACTATATTCTAGTGATAAACACGAGCCGGCTGCTAGTTTAAGCACATGTTCTCCTACAATGCAGCACAAAAAAAGCCTGCTGCTCAGTATCATCTGCATGGCTGTAATGTCTTCTGCATCTCCATGTAGCTAGTCAGCTGGAAATCGCTGGTTTTCGGTGTTCATTTCGCATGCAAGCTCTTTGATAATGCCCGTGCACATGCCGATAGACATATTCACACTGTTTCCAGTCGCTGTTTTGCGTTTTCATTACCCCTCAAGCCCAGTGTTTATTATTTGTGCATTTGACTGTATCCCAGCTAGAGACCCTGACCCTGTTGTGTCAGGCGCTGTACAAGCCCTCGAACCGAACGGCAGTTCTCGCCTCTGAGAGCTGGCAGTCTCATAACCATTTTTGGATAGAAAAATATAACACTGCAAGAAAAAAAAATAAAACCTTGGATTGCATGTAAAGAAATAAAGCAAAATGCTATTCCCCCACTCCTGCTGTCTGTGCTCGAGCCTTCCAAGAAGTTCCTGTCCTCATCTGTTAGAGTATCATTTTACAGCTCAATGACAAACACAGAACTTGCCAGTTTAAACATATAGGTCTCGTTTTTGCTCTCTGGTACACACACGCACTTACCTTTCCATTGCAGAGGTGTGTGGGAGAGCAGCTTTTGTCCCTGTCCCTTCGCGGTCCATGGACAGAGGTGCAGCGACACGTTGGGGTGCCAGGAGCGTTGCCCCCAGGTCCTTTCCTGCGTGTGTCTCCCAGCCTCTCTCACCTGGACCACTCCTGTTCACACTCGGCTCCTGCTCACATCCACCCTGTTCATATTCACGGGGCTCCCGGTCTCCTGCTCCCCATCTGCTAGGGGGATATTTACTGGAGCCCGAAGGGTGCTGCCGTTCACTCCTGCCGTGAGGGGAGGCGGGGAACCCAGCAAAGCCTCAGTCCCCTTACAGCCTTACACGCGGCAAAAACAAACCAAACAATTACAGTAAATAAATCCTATGAAATGACACATTACCTATGAAATGGCATCGAATGCACATACAAGCCAGCCGGGCTGATGCTGATCACGCAGCGTTTTGCAGCACCCAGGCTCTCCCCTGGCCCCGGGGATGCTCTGGCCGGTGGCCGGGGGGCTGCAGTGTGCCACACAGCCTCTCCTGACAGCTGCTTGCTGTGGCTCCGCGGCACCACTTTGCCTCACAAATCAGCAACTCGGCGTCTGCTCACACATGGGGAGAAGGAGAAGGCAGGTCCCTGCATCCAGCATCAACATATTCATCGACGGCCTGGATGAGGGGACAGAGTGTACCCTCAGCAAGTTTGTTGGTGACACAAAGCTGGGAGGGGTGGGTGACACACCAGAAGGCTGTTCTGCCATACAAGGAGACCTGGACATGCTGGAGAGTTGGGCAGGGAGGAACCCGATGAAGTTCAACAAGGGCAAGTGTAGGGTCCTGCACCTGGGGAGGAATAACCCCACGCACCAGTACAGGTTGGGGGCTGATGTGCTGGAGAGCAGCTCTGCAGAGAGGGACCTGGGAGTCCTGGTGGACAAGTTGCCCATGAGCCAGCAATGTGCCCTTGAGGCCAAGAAGGCCAATGGCATCCTGGGGTGTGTTAAAAAGAGCATGGCCAGCAGGTGGAGGGAGGTCATCCTCCCCCTCTACTCTGCCCTGGGGAGCACTGCATCTGGAGCACTGTGTCCAGTTCTGGGCTCCCCATGTCACGAAAGACAAGGAACTACTGGGGAGAGTCCAGCGGAGGCTACAAAGATGCTCCAGAGACTGGAGCATCTCTCTGGTGAGGAAAGGCTGAGAGCCCTGGGGCTGTTCAGCCTGGAGAAGAGAAGGCTGAGAGGGGATCTCATCAATGCTGATCAATATCTAAAGGGTGGGTGGCAAGGGGATGGGGCCAGACTCTTCCCAGTGGTGCCCAGCGACAGGACAAGGGGCAACGGGCACAAACTGGAACACAGGAAATTCCATCTCAGCATGAGGAAGAACTTCTTTCCTGTGAGGGTGACAGAACACTGGCACAGGCTGCCCAGAGAGGTGGGGACACTCCTTCTCTGGAGATATTCCAAACCCACCTGGATGGGATCCTATGCAACTGCTGTAGGTGACCCTGCTTTGGCAGGGGGTTTGGGCTAGATGATCTCTGAAGGTCCCTTCCAACCCCTGCCAGTCTGGGATGCTGTGATCCTGAGACAGCCAGCCAAAAGCCCAGCGCTCCTGGGTGCCCCCACGCCTACCCAGGGGGTGAGCACAGCTCCATGGCCAGGGCGCCCGACCGCAGCGGTGGGCTTGGGGTGCAGATTGGGGCAGGAGTGCAGTCAGCACACAGCAAAGCACATCTAATTGCAGCAATCCCTGCAGCATGATAGATGGCCCGTGGATGTATTAGCCATTACGGACTGCAAGGCATCATTCTGAGATAAGGGGCCTTATGCTAGCAACTGATTTATGCTTTCCTCACTTTCTTGCCTTTTCTTCCAGGAGCTTTAAAAGGTTGGGGCAGCCAAACCTAAATGTCGAACCAACTAAACTCCCCTCCAGTTTGTCAGATGGGACTTGCAGGGAGAGCTGACCAGGGCATGGGCCAAAGAGCATTTGCTGCAGAATAACTCTGTGCCCAGCAACACCGGCCTCAGGAGGGGCAAAACTGTGCTCTGGTCCTGATGTCCCCGTGAGACCCAGCATGGTCTCGGGGCATGGCAAGACAGGAGGTATGTGCTGGATGATCTCCTGACCTCAGGGACCTCCAGGGCTGGGCGATATGAACAGTCCAAACGTTCTACTGAAAACCCAGCAAACTCATTTTTCCACATTAATTTTAGTTTCAGGTGCCCAGTATAAACATGCTGTGTCACATTCATGTAGCACCAGTCATAGTGCTGAAAAATGGATTATTTCAGTGCACTTGTGCTAAAAAAAAAAAATAAAAAATTATCCCAGGTATAATGAGAAGCCCGGGTAAGCTGTGGTGGTGGCAGAGGGGTTAGGTCCCGCTTGTTTTAGAGGGGATATGGGTTTGTGCCCGTTTCTCTGCTGTGACTGTAAGATCAGCGTAGCTGTGCTGGTGGGATCCGTGCTGTCCATGTGTGCCCTGTGATGGATCCCAGCCCCTTCTCCTCACCCTGGCATGAGCCCCACGGGCTGCAGCGAGGATGCTCCTGGAGAGGAAGGACAGCGGTGGTTAGAGGAGGGTGCCTGTCCCTGTTTTCCTCCATCTCGCTGTTCAGTGCCAGAACAAACTCATACTTTCTCTGATCTTCTCGTGAATCACTTTATAGCAAAGGACTGAGCCAGCTCCCACAGGTCTCAGTGTGAGGATTTTGCTGAGAACTGGGTGCTCGAAGAGCTCGTTGGTGGCTGGGGGTTGTTTTTGGGATGCATTTTGTTGGGATGTTTAAAGCAGAGCAACACAAAAGCCCTCCTATTACCCCCCTTTCCTCTGCTGGACAAAAGCTGGATATTCTGCATATTCCTGGCTTTCTGCAGAGGGAAACGGCAGGGGTTACAGAGACGTCTCTGCGCACGGGCTCCTCGCAGCACAACCGCTCCAAGTACGCCATCACCGCTCCATGCCACGAAGCACACGTCAGCGCCACATCCCTCCTCGGGGTGGCCGAGGTGGAGGCGGGCAGTGCCATGCGGCTGTGCGTGCCTGCGCCGGGGCCAGCAGGGGCCGGGCACGGCACCGTGCTCCACGCTATGCCCGCTGCATCCTCAGCAGCTCGCAGGAACCCGCTAGCACCGTGCCGGCAGGTTTTGCTGGAGAGCTGGAGGAATCCAGCCCTGCGACAGGCAGTACTCCAGGTTCCCAGCCTGCTACAGCAGCCAAGCACTCGGATAGCTGGCACTAGACTCTCTCCTTGAATTACTCATCTTTTCCATTACGAGGCCTCCCATACTCCAGCAATCCATCTGTTTGGTGGTGCAATTTCAGGATCATGCCTTTTGTCAGTGATGTTAATTTTGGCAGTCAGCAGCAGACGCGGTGCTGAAGCTCCCCGCTGAGGCCTCGCTGCCTTTTCCTGGGCATCTGGCAACGTGCTCGGAGATGCCAGTGGAGATGGCAGCCTCCTCCCCGGCTTGTCCAGGGTTTTGTTCCGGGTGGTGACTCCTGAGGCTGCCCAAGGGCTTGGCAGCATGAGTGCTGGTAGCACACGCATGAGAAAGGCGAGCACGGGGAGGTTTCATGGTCTGTACCTGGTGGCAAACACCCTGCTCACATTTTCCTCTCTAGCTGCAGCCCTCTGATGACCTGCCCGATCTTCGCCCATCTCGCCAGGGTTTACTTCCCTTGTGCCCACCTTGGTCATGGCTGATGCTGGGACGCTCACAGACCAGACTGCAGACACTGGGCTACCAAGTGACTGGAGATGCACTGCCACTGCAGCTGCTCAGCAGCTCAGGGAGACCTTACGTGACCAGATCCCACAAATGTGTGGTTGCACCTGAACTATCTTCCGGAGCCGGATGAACACCACATCAGTTGCTTCCTCTGTCTGCTTCTTCTCAGTGATTTGTCTCATCCTCTGTGGGGTCCTCCCTTCTTTTGGTCCCCTCTGCTCTTGGATGGCTACAGACTACATTTCCTCCTAATGCAGACAACAGGCAGACCATGCCCAGGATGATGGGACTCCATTTGGGTACCCAGAGCTGATATGTAGGATTTATCAGGACCATCTTACTGCAGTGAGGTCTGGGGGACTAGGACGGAGAGAGGATGGGAAGCAGGCTCTGCTGACCTCCTGAGCAGGTCTCACTGAAGAACATGGCACCTGCCACCTTACCTCAAGGAGGATGGCTCATCAGGGACCATGGAGACAACCTGTCTGTGCAAGAGGATGCACAGTATACTCAGCTTTGGGGTAGGGGTTAGTACCTGAATTGGGCATGTGAGTGGGGATGTCTCCTCCATTCCCATCACTTCGGTGTCCCTCACTGCACTTTCTCCCTGGCAAGGCTCTCTGCTCTAAAGCTGAAGCCTTAGTAAAGAGCTTTGTATAGGCTTGCACCCGAAGTTGTGCTCCTATGAGGCTGGTCCAACTCCCAAAACTTGAGCTCAGCAGGGAAACAGGTCCTCGAGCATCTTCCTCCGGAGCTGAGCCACAGGCCTCAGGGATGTGCCCAAGATGCTGCTCTGTAGCTGTCAGTGTTAGCAATGCACAAGGTTTGAGCGAGTTTATTTTGCGTGGGGCACGCACCCACCATCTCCCTGCCCAGGTGACTCCCCAGGGAGGGTCCTTGTGTGCTTTTGTGCAGCCACGCAGCAAACACTTGTCCTGGGTGCTGCAAAAGCTGACAAATGCGGGAAATCCTTTTCCGTGCCACCTGAAACCCCCTCTGGCAGAGCAAGACAGAGAACACAGCTGTCCTGCCCCAGTGGTGCCCCACAGAGGGGTCAGCTCGAGCCCTTCCCGATTCTCCACCGCCCTCCCCACCAGCCTCATGCTGCGAGCAGCCCAGCTCTGCTCCCGCATGCGGAGCCTCCCACGGCCGGGCGCTCCCATGCTGCCTGTGCCGGCTGACTGCCAGCCCGATAACAGGGCTCCTGGCTGCCTGCCTCCCCCTCCGGCCCAAACAAGCACCGAGCAGGCGGGAAGAGCCGGTGCGGAGATGTGGTGGTGCCGTGCAGAGCGCGGGCTGCGTGCCGTGCTTGTCCTCCTTGCAGGACTCCTGCCCTCTGCCTCGGCTGAAGGAGGATGCTACCGCCGCGTGACTGCCTGGATCTCACTCGCCCTGTGCCTAATGCACTAGTTGTGTTGCTTTGATTTCTCACCTGGTTATGGCATTCCTCTGGGGCTTGTCATCAGGGCAGCTCTTCTTGGTTGCTTCCTGTCTCCTGCTTGTTGCACAACCCTTGAAGAAGCCCAGCAGCGGCTGCCTGGGCACGGGGGCAGCAGGGGAAACGGTGGGTGCAGGACCTCGACGCAGTTCTGCTCTCACCATTTCTGCCTGTCCTTTGCTATCCCCCAAGCCCCTCTCCCCCTTGCCAGGGAGCTTGTGCCTCCCCAGGACTATTCCCTGACACAGCTAGGGGCACTTTTTGTCCCCACAGGTGCCCATCCTGGCTGCTGCTTCCAAAACCTGAGGCAGAAATATCCCTGAGCAGAGTTGGGGGAGAGGGCCAGCAGAGCTCATGACAGCAAGGCATCCCTGCGCATGGCCCAGCGCAAGGGCTGGGGCATTATTGGGATGGACCAGGCTTCATTCCACAGCTTTTGCAATACCAACCCCGTCCAGATTGGTAGTGAGGAAGGTGTAAGAACCCCACAGTGGATGTGGGGGCATGATTTACCCTCATATGTATCTTTGGTAAATAGAAATGAGCCTAAGCTGATCACAGGCATAATATCCCAACTGTTTATGACTGTTAGCTACTATCAGGATGCATATTCCTGTTATTTGTCTCAATCTCCCGCTCTTGCTATGGCCTTGCCCAGGGTCTAATCCAGGAGTTTGCTGTAGTTAATAATATGCATCTAAGGATGCTCATCTGTGATGTGCTGTGCCCTGGGGGAGCAGTGAGATGGGGGCAGGTCTTATGAGTGTAGGATACCCCAGGAAGACTCTCAATGTCACCAGCTCACAGCCCCCCAGTTTATATGCCATGGAGGTGGAGTGTCACACAGCTCATTTAGGACCCAGCAGAGTTTGCCCACAGATCTGCAGCATGGCCAGAGCCTTGGCTGGCGGCAGCGGGGAGCCAACAGCAAGAGGCAGACCTGTGGTTCAGACCACTGGTCCTGTCTTTTGATGCTCCTACCCTGAAGCCTGTGGCAAAGGCTGGTCTGGCACTGCCAGGTTGGCTGTAAGCTGTACCAGCACCACATCGTTCCCACAGCATGGGTTTATCCCCTTTCCACTGATGCTCCTGGAGCACAGCCTGGCACTCGTCTGTGTGTCTTGGAATGACTCTCCCAGATGGTGGCTCAATCTTCAGCAAGGGCATCAAACACTTGCTGGTGGGTACTAAAGCCACGGGTCCAGTCCTGGATACTGGAGAGCCCTTGTAGGCATTGCACCAGGGCATTTTCCTCCTCTGTGCACTCAGTACCTGAATATCTCCAGCACGGTTCCACCGTGGGTCTGTGCTTCGCCTCCTGTACCTGCCAACACCTCTGTTCATGGCTGGTGTCTTGTATCCCAGCAAGGTTCTCCTGCATCCCGGTGCTCGACCCTTACCTCCCTCACAGCCCCCAGCCTGGCTGGCTTCCCCTGCTCGCTGCACGCCAGGACCCAAGTGTGCGGCTGTGACTGGGTGGGGGGAGAGGGTCTCTGCAGCCCAGATGCCCGTGGTGGCTCTGTGCTATCCCAGAGGGGCTGGGGTGGGAGTACAGGACCCATGGTGGGGATGGGGGAGTCAGAGGACGCAGCATGCAGTGAGGGTAACGTGTGTGTGTGTCTGCGTGTGCGCACAGCGTGGGGCATGCGTCAGAGGTCTATTCGTGGGGCGGTGTATCCATGTACAGCAGAAAGTCTGAAGGTGCCCGTTTGTGTCTGGGAGCTGCATGTATATGAGGAGATGTAGTTCCCATAGGTCTGTGTCAGTGTGTGTGTGTGTAAGAATATGCCTGCGTAGCTCGTGTCCTTGCGTGCAGTGTGCCTGTGTCCTACCCTCTACGTGTGCAGGGTGTATCTGTCAGCGCGGCATGCTGGCTCTGCTGTGTGTGCATCGTGGGTACACGTCTGTGTGTCTGCGTGTGTGCAAGGTACTGGATAAAAGGGGAAATGGCTGGAAAAGCTATCCCCACTCCCATTTTAATCAGAGAAATGAAGCAGCTGTTGGAGTGAATAGACCCTGCACTAAAGCAGACGTCTTAATATCTTTTGCAGAGGAGGTGCATTGTGATTCATTCTGTGCATCTCTATTACTCAGCTTTTGATAGGGGCTTACTTGTCTCAAGTGCTTTTCATTATTGCCCTAATGCTATCTATTAACATACTGGATGGAGGCTCTTTTCTCATCTGGAGCATGCATCACTGTGCTTTTAAAGATTATGGGGCTTGCAAATACATAACACTTTACTGCCTCCCTGACATAATTCACTGGAAAAAGGAATACATGTAAATAGATAGGTAAATAGATAACCTAGTTGGGGGGCTGTGGGAGACAGAGAGGCAGACAGACAGACAGACCCTGGTAGAGAGCTCAGCACACAGTTAGTTCATTTGTAATAAATGAGAAAAGAGCTGCTCTCAGTGTTTATTTAAAAATTCTTGGCCACCGTTTGGTCTCACTTGGAAAATCCTTGTTTCCTAGTTTCCAGCCTCTGACCTTCAGGCTGCGGGATGGGTCACCCATCAGAGACAGGGGGCTGCCAACTGGGAAAGGTTTATGTGCCCAGGAATGGGGGCATCATGGGGAGATGGGGAAGGGGAGAGGACTGAGACGAATAGATGGGTAAGAGCATGTAGTGGAACTGGGTCCTGCAGATGGAGACCCCAGCAAAGCCCACAGGATGCGCGGGTGACCAGTGACCTTAGCATGGACCAGAGCCATGGGCGCTCTCTGCTCTGGAGGAGACCTCCCCAGCAACTATTTCATCTTAGCCGGGTCAATTAACCACTTTAAAGACTGGTGAGGCGTTTAAACACTCCAATGCAACTTATGTAGGCAGTCTTCATCAGGGGAAGATTACAGGTGTGG